GGGAAAAAAAATAACGGACGTACGTGACAAATAATCACAAAAAAAACATGTAGCGTGTAGCACACGCACGTTTCAAAACTTTTGGCCATGAATGCAAACTCATGCTATCTCTATTTGTGTCGTATCATGACGATCGATAAGTTCAAATAATGCAAAGTAAATGCCCCGCATTAATTTCGCGTCGTTTCAAAATTGGTCCGCTTTTGAGGTCCACGCATTCCGTTCCAAATTTATATTTTCAATACTGAATCGAACAGTCATTAATGTAATGTGTATTCACGCGATAATTTATTAAGGTGAGCCCAATAAGCCCGTTGTCGTGAATTTTACCAATAAATCAATATATCCGTATGTATGTGCGTCTCGATTTTATTGAAAATTCACCACCGAAGAGGAAATCATTCTAAAACCAGATTTAAAAGTAACCAACTTTGAAGAAAGATTTCTCGGATTATCCTATAATCTGAGCTTTAATTTCCCGATTATTGGTAATTCTGAGAAATATGATATGACATGATATGACACTTAATACGTCGATGTCTGTCCATAAATTAATACGTATAATACCTATCTGATTAGTTAGCTATAAACGGAGCTTTAAAAACGGGGATTAGCCGAGATGCAATAACCGGGACGAGTCCTATCAAGTTGCAGAGATCTCACGCGAGGTGTTTCCAACGCAATTAGCGGCTTGAAAGCCCATAAGATGAATGTTACCATGAGGCCGCTGTATCGCGTCGTAATGACCGTTTATGCGCTGTACATTATGTACAAGAGCAGCAGCAGCAATACCTTTTACGTCTACTGCATCGATCTCTTGAACGTGATGGCGCAAATCTCGATTATGACGCACGAGAATTTAGCGACAAGAACTTCGGCCATGGCTGAATAGCACATGAATGAACAGGTGAACCGATGTGACAAAAAACCTGACGAACGTAGCGGACACCGCCGTGGAATCGTAACGTGTGATATGTATTCTCGGCGATAGTTATGTTGTTTATATTAATCCGACGCATTAAAAGTTTCTGTTTCAGTTACACATATTCAGTTGAAGTGATGGGCAAATCTTTTGCCCGAGATCCTTAAATTGCGCTTTAACAAAAGATAGATTTCACACATTTTCCTTACAGACAAATTTTGGCCTTATTTCAGCCCCGTTCTTTATTAAAAATTCATCTCAATTCTATGAATAAATAAAACAATCAATCTTAAATTCTCATTAATGTGCAGATATTGTTACATTAAAAATATTACCGAAGGGTCAAATAACTGCTTAGTATCTTCAAGAAGCACGTTCTGAAGATTCCCTTCCCTCGTGACTATAGTTCACTATCTATATAGATAGATAGTGAACTATGCACCGTATCGTTCTACAAAGATAACGGTATCATGGTGATCGAAATCCCACGGTGGCAGCCGTGTTCCTGTGGTTTCTCACGATTCTCGATCACTATACGTCTAGCTGAATTTCGCCATAGCGTTTCTCGTCACGATCCTCGTATACCTTCGAGAATCACTTTGATTCTACGAAATCCGCGTCCGGGAAATATATGGATGAGCCGAGTCCGCGTTTCGCGAGTTTGAGGGAGTGCTTCTGGTTTTGCCTGATGTCGATCACGCCGCAGAGTTGCGGTTTGATACCCAAGAATCTGTCCAGCAAATTGGCGGTCGCTGTCTGGGTGGATCTTCGAATTCGTCATAGCGGTGTATAATCTTGCTCCGTGTTTGACATTGGAACGGCGTATCGAGACGATAAACAATCGCATGCAGGAGGCAATGTCAAAACGAATATTCTTATCTTGCTGGTCTACTGATATTTCGAGAATGTAAAAAATAAGTTTTGTCCAAAGAAATTCTGCCCAAATACGTGATCCTTTTCTTGATAATAGTGAAATAAAATATGCAAACGATCTTGAAAATACTCTTTAAATTCTTATCATTAATTAACAAAGCTGCGAGTCTCAACGTGTGTACGTGCTGTTTGATGAATTAAAAAGTGACAATTTTATATAACTTGTCACAGACAGAGCAATCGACAGGCGCAAGAGGAACCTCTATTGTGAGAGATGACAATAGAGGTCACAAACCAAGTCGATATTTCTAGAGATACAGAGAAAATCTCTTGACAAAGAATTACTAGAGTATCCTGATAACGAATGACAGTGTCGATTGTAAACTTTCAAGACTGCACTATTATTACGGTCTTTCTTCTCTTTTTTTTTTTATGTCCACGTTACAGAAAGTATGTTACAAAAACTTAGAACAGCTTTTCTTTGTACAAAAAATCAATCAAATATGCTTGTATTTTATGGCATATTTTAGTAATTAGTATTATTGTTTAAAATTGGGAGGTAATAATTAAAATAATGCTAAATTTGGTATATGGTTGATCGGGTTACCTGCGAATTAAATTACCTTGAAATACGAAATATCCCTCGTTTTAACAAATTCGCTTTAACAAATTATAATTAATACATATATAAGCTATATCGTATTTTGGTTCTGATATAATGCAGATAAATTGTTTAAAAGCATTAATGCCGATATTGGCAAATTTAATTAATAATCTCGTAACCGAGCAGAATCACTCTAATTATACATTTCGTAGCAACAAACTAATATTTGAAATTTGGCATAAGCTTCGCTTTGATTAATGTAATCTATGTTAGCTCTTTCGTCGCTAGAGGCGATTATATAGTTAGCAAACGCATTTGCATCTTTCACGTGCGAGAACGATTAAAACTTCGTGTGGTTTCTAAATATAACAAAATCAACGGAGTAGGGAGGGGGGCATATTCAACGTTTAATTAATATTCTCCGCAGATGATCTCTTTATCTCTCGTTTGAGTAACGAGGGATAAGTTTGCTTGTCTTACATGTAAAAAGAAGCGAATCGATTATAGTAAAAATGTTTTTAATTGGGCAGCCTCGGTAATCGTGAGAATGTTTGCAGTCTGTGGAGACAGATGAGTCTGGACGGGAGTACGTCGGATTATGAAAAGGGCAAGCTATAATGAATGGAAATAGTCGAGAAGTGCACGAAGATTTATAATGCGATGAAGAGAGCAGGCTTCCACCCCAATACAGAAAGCTGCGAACAATGTGCGAAAAATTGCGAAGCTATGCAGATTACACACTTTGCATTAACGAACTGCGATTTAGGCCAAGACGAGTTTGCTATTAAGAACGAATCGTCATTGACAAGCAAAATTCGAAGTGTACGTATCTCTGACAATAAGATATAAAATAGTACATAATTTTGTATAATACTTGCTTTGTTGAGAGACAACATTCAAATGCAAAGAATTAACGAGCAAACATTTTGTAATATTGCTACTTTTTTACAGGATTTCACAGGAATTATGAGCTTCGAGAAATATCATTCGCTATTAGAAACTACATGTAAAAGAAATGGAACGAAAACCCAGAGAGAGCGCAATATCCGGATGGTAATGAAATTGATTGGAGATTCATGTTAGATGATACGGCAGCAGTATTTTTATTCACTACATTGAAACGTGTTTTTAGTGTGTTATATTATTCATACATTATACTACCACAATAACAAAAGATATAAAGCAAAAAGTGACAATTGCTCATAAAAACGAGAACGGTGAAAATGTCATGAAAAGAAAAACAGAATAGTTACATTCAAATATGGACAACATCAAAGCAAATTTCGCACGCGGAAGGTAACGTTGGGAAATGATATTTTGTTATTTAACCCATTTCACGAGACATGTTCTCATCGCACTCTCAAAAATTTGAACATCAAAACGTCGAGGTAAAAATTAATTTCCGGTCTCAAGTCCTCAGATATGTAAAATGTCAAATCAATATCGTAATGTTCGCTTTTTATCTAAGGTAAGGATCTCCAATTTTAATAGCGAAAGTACTAATAATAATAATAATAATAATAATCGTGCTGTAATAGCACACCCATTCGGTTACTTCGAGTACTGTCGCACGCGATATCCGCGCGTATCTGACGTCTTGAACGTGGCAGATGGAGTTAGATATTATTACAAGGTTTCGAGTTGATTGTGCTTAAATTATACGTTTCGAGATTCGTAATCCCGTTTGCTCGTTAACCACGGCAGTTTGCATGTGTGTCAAGGACGAAGTTTACTTCATATCGCGCGATTATGTGTTACTGGACCACGGAACGTAGTTTTCGACTTATTATTGCAGCTGGTCGATTTGCCTGTGAGAAGAGTAAGCTTTAGTTGATGTAAGTTGATTCGCCTGATGTAAAACTTTTGATTATGTCATCCAAATTCAGAATTATTCAAACGTACAAATAGTGCGGTATTGTCTGGGAAAAAATGTGTTTACTGTAGAATAGTGTAGAAAATACTGTGTAATATAGTAATATTTTTTTAAATTACTTTGGGGACGAAGGGCTGAATGTAAAACAAATCTCGTTAAAATGGAAAAGAGATTCCACATATGTGTCGGAAAGTCACGCACCGTGACGAAGTGATCTCGCTTTATTGTGCACAACTAAATTAAACTGAATATTTGAGTGGAATGCACTTTAACGGATTATAAATCACCGTCACGGGTGAGATTCATCCTGAAGGCAGTTATATTTTATACGGAAACGGAATACGATGTCGCGTAACACTCGATTCCGATTCCGTGATTCCAAATAAAAATTGTTATCTCGTATTTTCTTGATGATCCTTTTTTTATTTTGAAATCTCTACGCAAATCGATTTCAGAAAAATACCAAATAAATGAAGTGGAAGTGATCGATTGCATCGAAGCCAGTAGCCAGTGCGTAAATGCAATTTCTCCAACATTCGCGCCTCTATAATCCGTACACAGGCGGACAGGCGGTCATTCTTTCGTGTGTAAATCGTTTTCGATCGCTTTGACTCGAACAAATTCAATTTCCCGGCTTGGTTCCACGTGTCAATCCCGTCGTTGCCTTCGCTTCGCGTAAATGAGCATTCCCGGTCGAAATAATTAATCCATAACCCGTTTATCAGCGATGATGAAACGAGTTGGCGATAAAGGCGAGGAAACAACGTACAACGGAATTGGCCTTACGAGAGTTATGTCATGCGCGTGTCCACGAAAGTATCGTGGTACACGTGAATGCCCGATATATCCGTCAAATTTTCGTTAAAGGAGGAGATAACAGGGGCGCTGGTCACACGTGCTGACTACGATTGATTAGGGTCATCCCCGCGGCAACCGATGGACAAACACAAATAAACCGGAGGACACCCTGGAGCGAAGCTGCCTGCGAACCGACCTGTCAGTAGACAGCTGACCGTTTTCTACGCGCAATATCCACTTTGAATTTCCAAACGCTGTATGGCAGGTCCGAAAAGAATCGTCTCGAGGGGAAGTTTCCTCGACGATGCCGTAACGGCGGTAGCCACCATCGAGGTTTCCACCCTCGAGTCGTAACTGGACCGCGAAGGCCGTGCCTCTAGCCTCCAGCCTCCAGCCTGGCGTCCTAGTTCCACACACAACGCTCGCTTCGAGACCGTATTAACGATATTAAGCTCTCAATATAGAGTTGCAGTTGCAGTTAATCGCGCAGGGGAATACTGCCGAGTTTCCTTAAAGCGGCGAACTTTTGCGCCGACAAACTGAAACTGAATGCACCTTCGATGTCCCTGGGTTGCGAGGACGAGCGAAAGCTGAGCGCCGATAAGTGATATTGCGCGATAAGCAAGACGCTCGAGGCTTCGATTTGTATCGCTAAAAGTATCTCCCGTGTTCAGACTGAGTTAATTACTTTTGCCATTTCCTTTCGAGTTTTGTTCGAAGCTTATTTGGAAGACGCCCACTCGTTCGCGATCATGATATCCGGCCGTCGTGTCGCAAAGATTTGTATTCTGTACGTTCTATCGGTGACTTTTGCTGCCTACGGAGTAGAAGACACGTCAAACGGTGACAAACAGAAACCAGCTCGATCGAGACCGGTGAATCTTTGTAAGTTTCATTTATAGAAGTTTAATTGGAAAATCTTGCGTAGCGCTGTAGATAACCGTATTATGCGATCGATACACACGTGACGTATTGTCACCGGTTGCATCTCTGTCGTTGAAAGAGAAAACAAATCCACATTCTATGCGCATACGAAAGAAAAGATTCCATTTGCGAAGGCGTCGACAGCTTTTTAGGCCAGTCCATTACCGCTTTTCAAACGATCCGATGCGCGATAACTGCTTTTGTCTCACAGCGCACGGTTGTAGTTTCTCATTAATGAGCTATTTAAGGCAGTAGAGCGCCCTAAGGTGTTACGTCTTAAGATTAATCGTCTGACTTGCTTTTGCCTTCTCTTTTTTCTTGCATGCCACGTCGGCGCGATGCTTTTTCCCCAATTAGTTATAATTAATGGTGAGAAGAACGAAGTGGGGAACGCGAGCGTGACCAGCGCTTTGAAGGCTCTGAAGGAGAAGTATCCGGGTCATCTGGGCAACGTGTGGTCCGTACAGATCAACGAAAACGATTCCAGCGAGAGTCTCGAGACTATATGCAACACCTGGAGCTCGGCTATCAGCAAGGGCGGCGCGACCGTCCCGGATCTGATCTTGGACATGACGATGGCCAACTTGGGCGCCGAAGCTTCGAGCTCGTTCACCGCGGCCATGGGGATCCCGACTTTATCCGCCCAATTCGGTCAAGAGGGTGATATTCGCTATTGGAGAGATCTCAACCTTGATCAAAAAGACTATTTGATTCAGGTACCATGTCCAATTACGCACGTAAAAAGTCCTGATAGCGAAGTACATAGCGTCCTGATACATGCGTGATATAACGTGAAATTTAGAAATATATCCGACCGATATAAGCTTTATACATTTTGCTTTGTAGATATAGGTCATAGAAATAAATCAACTGGAATTTACATAGTTTCCTCTAGAAAAATTTACTTGAAAAATTCTTCAAATATTCTTGCAATTTTCCGTGGTTCGGTATTTCGTTCCAGGTAATGCCACCGAGCGATCTTCTGCCCGAGGCGATCCGTCAGTTGGCGATTCAAATGAACATCACCAATGCCGGCATCCTTTATGACAAAAACTTCGTCATGAACCACAAGTACAAGAGTCTGCTGCTGAACGTGCCGACCAGGCACGTCATCAACAGTTTGCAGGATATGATCGACAACGTAAAGGAGCAATTGTCCAAGTTGCGGGACTTGGACGTGGTAAACTATTTCTTACTCGGCGATGAAAACACCATCAGTATGCTGTTGGACGCCGGGGAATCGTTGAGCTTTACCGGACGGAAGTACGGATGGTTTATTTTGACTCTGGATGAGGAATCGTGGCCGAGCTGCGCGTGCGAGAACACCACTATTTTATTCATGAAGCCGGAACCGCCAGTGGTGAGCGATGAAAAAAATCAAGCGGAATTTGTTGTAAGGGATACGCTCCAGAAACCGCTTATCACGTCCGCCTTTTATTACGATTTGACTCTGTTGGGTATCAGCGCGATGAAGTCGGCTTTGGACAACGGCGACTGGCCCTTGAAACCCCATCATATCGACTGCAACAGCTACGACGAGACGAACACGCCGACGAGAGGCCTGGATTTCCTGGCTAAACTGATGGCAGTCTCGAAAAATATGACGCCGACGTACGCCAATATTACCTGGGGCAGGAAGAACGGGGAGCATCACGCGGACTTTAAGATGATCGTATATATGGTGAACATCGAAAAGGAAAAGATTACGTCGAAGGAGGAGAGCGGAGAATGGCAGGCGGGCATCGAGGTGCCCTTGCAGGTAAGTCCAATTGTGCTTGAAACGAGAGGTAGCGTGTCACGTGAAAAACGTTGAAGGACGATGTGTCGTGTGTTAACATTGACTTCCTAATTATTCGTAATCTATTATGATGAAATCGATTGCCTGCACGATAAGATGAGGGGATTCTATGACACAAGCAGTGTATCACAATAAGCAATTTTTTTTCCGTATTACGATAATGTTGTCAATATATTATACGGCTTCTTCGATTTTCCTTCCAATCCTCGAATGCCATATATCCGAGGATTATTGATCACGCTTGACCGTCACGTTGACTCGTGCCTGACCGAGCGACGTTTATGCGATCGATGGCTCATATATTTTTTCCCGTTCATATTGTACTACCCTTTTCTACGGATAGATATGGAAATAATTCGTAAAACCAGCAAATTAATTGTCGTATTGAATTAAGATAGCATGTAAAAATTGCTGTTGGAGTTTATTTAAGCTCTTCTTGAATATTCGCTCGTTTGCAAAGCATGTTTAAACTGGATCGCGTTTGCATGATAACGAATACCGCTAAATAAAGGGCGCTGAAACTCGAGCTTACTTTTAAGCCGATTTTGCATTAACTTCCCGCAAAGAGTATTAACAAATACAGAACTATGATAATACGAGATATTCATTAAAAGGGATTGTGTCGGAAAAAAAAAGAAATTCCTTCAGCGTAAGTTCTTTATTGTAATATCTCGCCGTCGTATCTATCGCGCTGTCGTTCCCTAATGACGCTCGCTTATCTGTCCTGGAAAAAGTTCAAGGTGGCAAGAGCGTAATGATCATATATGTATACTTTTATTTACTTGCGCATTGTATCGCGCTATAAAAGCGTCACGAAACCCTTTTGCGTATTTAGTTTCACTCGTTTCATGCTTCGCACCTGCTCCACATTCTCTGGAGTCTCGGAGGTAGTTGGATACGACAATCGTCATCCTGTGTATTGATCTTGCTCTATTTTCTGTCTGATTCTTTTACTCTTCGCCTATCACGAGAATTTGCGTTCTGCGAAGGTTACCAACGACAAGATCATGAACAACACCGCGGTGACGAGCTACAGGGTGGTCGCCGTGCAACATCCACCCTTCATGATGTACAATAATCGAACTGGGACGTGGTACGGCTTCTGCATCGATCTGCTGGACGCGATTCGCGAAACTGTGCCGTTCGAGTACGAAGTACGCGAGGTGGAGGACCACGAGTACGGTTCGCTAAGCGAGAACGGCAGCTGGACCGGAATGATGAGAGAGCTGATAGATAAACGCGCCGACATCGCCCTGAGTTCGTTCTGGGTCATGGCGGAACGAGAAAAAGTCATAGACTTTACGGTGCCCTTTTACGACCTGGTCGGCCTGACGATCGTGATGCAGAAAACGAACCCGACGACGTCGCTCTTCAAGTTTCTCACGGTGCTAGAGAACGAGGTCTGGCTCTGCATCCTGGCGGCGTACTTCTTCACCAGCTTCCTCATGTGGCTATTCGACCGTTGGTCGCCGTACAGCTACCAGAATAATCGTGACAAGTACAAGGACGACGATGAGAAGAGGGAGTTCAATATCAGGGAGTGCTTCTGGTTCTGCATGACCTCCCTGACCCCCCAGGGTGGTGGCGAGGCGCCGAAAAATTTATCAGGAAGATTGGTGGCGGCTACATGGTGGCTCTTCGGGTTCATCATCATTGCGTCTTACACAGCTAACTTGGCAGCTTTCCTCACGGTGTCCAGGTTGGAGATACCTATCGAGACCTTGGAGGACCTGAGCAAACAGTACAAAATACAATATGCGCCTATCGCCAACTCCCCGGCGTACGTCTATTTCCAGAGAATGGCAGACATCGAGACGCGCTTCTACGAGTAAGTGATTACTTCTCAAATCAGATCTTTATGCGTGATTCTTTTAAATATATTTTAAATTATTATAGAATTTGGAAAGATATGAGCCTGAACGATAGCTTGTCGGACGTAGAAAGGGCGAAACTAGCCGTCTGGGACTATCCTGTTAGCGACAAGTATACAAAAATGTTTCAAGCCATGAAAGAAGCTGGCTTTCCAGCCGATATCGACGAAGCGCTAAGGCGAATTCGACAGGAGGATCAGTACGCGAACAATGAATTCGCTTTCATCGAGGACGCTTCGACTATCAAGTATCTTGTCATGACGAATTGCGATCTGACTCAAGTCGGAGAGGAATTTTCAAGGAAACCCTATGCTATCGCCGTCCAACAGGGCTCACCGCTAAAGGATCAATTTAACAATGCGTATGTACGAAGACGTTTATCTTTTTTTTTTCGTAAAAACCAAATCTCCTATCTTTCGTTTTTCTATTGCCATAGGATTCTCATACTGTTGAACAAGAGAAGATTGGAGAAATTGAAGGACAAATGGTGGAAGCAGAATCCTATGAAAAAGAATTGCGAGCTAGAAAATAATCAGAGCGATGGTATCAGTATTCAAAATATTGGCGGTGTGTTCCTCGTAATTTTTGTGGGCATCATCTTCGCTTGCTTCACATTAGCCTTCGAGTATTGGTATTATCGGCACCGTGCGAAAGTCAGCGTACATCAAGTTACGCCCCCGAAAATGAAAATGGCGAAGGGAATTAAGTCAATTCGGTTCGATTTGCATCCTGCCCCTACACATGCGTTTCAAAAAATCTCGCAATTTAGATCGAGATTTTAGGTTGAAACATTCAGAGAGGATTTATTTGAGACTATAAGTATGAAGCTGTCGCACAAAGGGATAAAAGCGTTTTTAGACGACCGTGTCAATTTTATATTAATGAGATATTAGACAAAATTCATGAATCTTCATGAATTTTTATATTGGTGTGACGCACAGTAAAGCGGTCGTCATAAAATACAGTAACATTTTTATAGGATCCATTTGCATGTTTTTAGCATATAAACTCCGCGCTAAATGTTTGTGGTTTTAGATAACTTTAAAGAAAGGTTTAATTGCGGAATTCTTGGACAAAGAGAGATAAATAAATTTATAGGAGTGGAAGATTTAAAACTGACGTACAATTTTCTTCTTTGCAATGCCTTTATTTATCCTTTCCGTACATTATTTCGCGGAAAGACAAAGAGCGCCCTTTTTTTTTACATTGCGTATGTTTCTTTCACATTATTTCCTAAAGACAGTTGTTTATAAGTGACACATTCCTTCGACGCATTAACATCATTACATCACTCAACATTCGTTTCAAAGGCATCTGCATGCTAGAGTAACATTTTTTGTATTTTTTTCGCATACCTTTCGCAAGGTAAGCACGTGTTTTGAAATTACACGTTTTTTTTTACACGTATGTTTTCAGTTATTCGATTTCCTTAGGGTGAGCACAGGGAAAGCAATGGATACAAGGAAATTTGGAACGTGGGAGAAGGAAAGGATTTTGGAGAAGGGATTAATCTTCTAGGGAGTTAAATCATAATTATAGGGGAATACGATTAAGATAATCCATTAATAATTACGAAAAACAACAATAGAACAGCTCTTTAATTAAATACCCGATTTGCATTCGTGCGGCGTTCAAAATAAGTACTCAACTGTCCTTTCGAATTTGTTTCTGATTCGTAAGTTTCGTTTCCTTTTTTGTCTTTTCTTTTCGATACATAAATCGAATAAGTAGATATTCTTGGCCTGCACGTCGGGTCAGAAACAAAATTGCTCGCTATAATTTTCTACAAAAATCAGCGTACTAAGCTCTCTCCTCAAAAATCACAAAGTAATCAACAACCTACAACTGAAATAGCGTGGACTACATCTTCAACGTTCTCGAAACGTGAAACGCTGTGTGTAACATATACACTTCTTTTTTTTTCTTATTTTGTTCCTTTCCTCTTTACTCTCTCATCAAAAGATTATTTATTAATTATCTAAATGAATAGTTAATATTCTCGCTTTGTTTCGCGTTGTTTCGATTGCATGTTGCTTATTACGAGTGACGATGGGGTTTACTCGTGCCTTCTTGGATACATGCATAACAAATTCCACATGCCAAGAGGACCCCCATTCACAATCCTATCAATCGCTTTTTTATTTTGCGAAAAAAAAGTATAGCTAAACACCTCAAATCTCCAGTCATATAGTATTATTTTGCAGCTTACATTATCCGGTTCACAAGGTCAACGGACGTAAAGTCGTCAGTGGCTGGAATCCGAAGCTGCTACTGTGCCTTCTATCGGAAAAAATATGTAATTAGGTACAATAGCAATGTGACAAAACTAAATTGTACCCGTAAAACTTTTATCCAGACACGCTATTAATATATTTCAGAATTGCAAGTGAGTCCAGGACAGGTATTATTGTAGTAAAATCATTGCTCTACCATTTCATTCGTTTTTAGCACGGATTCTATCCTAAAAAAAAAATTTGAGCCTAAATTTTTTTGGAGAGCTAAAGTCATTCAATTATTTTCCAATAAAAATGGAATATATTTATATGTATAGAGAGAGTATTTTATCTTTTATTTTTCTTAAAGTTTTTTAACCACTTAGAACAAATCACACATACATTAATATTTATCTTCGAAAATAGATAATAAGTCTATGAATACCAATTTTTCTGTTTTATTATCCAATTCTGGATAATATGATACTATAAATCTCGTTTTTTAACCTGACAATATTGATTTTCTCACCCATTTAATAATAATAAAAAAAAATTAGTGTAAAGTCACTCTTCTCTTATTGTATTCGTAATTAACGACGTTACACGTTCTATGCAATTGACGCGCTTGGAATACATGGCGTATCTTAACAATGTTCATTACCTTTTTCTATCATTGTGCAGAGGTACACTCGACTGCATCCAGCCAAGTTGATCCAAAGCAAAAGAATCTTTTTCGTTATTTTCTTGCTCTTGTAAAACGGCATCTTCGGCTCCGACCGGAGAATAGCGAAAATGATCTTGTTCGGAGAGAATGCGGCGTTTGACCGGAGATCGTACGGGCTCAGTTTGGACACTCTTGTCGCACTGACGCACCCGAAACTTCAGCGTTAAATTCGTAGACGCGGACAATGCCACCGCGTCATTCTCCCGATACTCCATATACGGGCTTTCTCCGCCAGGAAGGTACAGTAAGTTTCCTGACTCAGATCTGCGATAAGCAACGCGTTCTACTGTATTGTTCACAGTAAACGTCGTCCCATCTGCCCAGTGACCATCGTCCTTTATCGGACGAAAGTGAGTACGTGCGGAAGTCAATAGATCCTCGTCTGGTTCTGGAAGGCTGTTTACCTTCAGACTCGAACGAGATTCTTTGCGAACTCCAAGCGGAGTTTTGCTCGACGCTACCGGAAAGAAGCGGTCATCTTTTTGAGGATTGTGACAATACAAACTTGTATTGTCAATTCCGTTCCACCACCCATCCACAAGCGAATTCATCCAATTTATGTTGTATTCTACAATAATATCACTAATATAAAAATCTCCCCTGATAAAAAAAATTTAAACTCTCTACGAGATTTTTCAACTATAAGTATTACTTTGATATAAATCTTAAATTATAAAATATTGCATCAAGGATTGATATCTGACCTGCTTTATCTTTATTGCTACATTCATCTGCGTTATCCTCAATGCTGATTACATCAATACCCCATGGAGTAAGCGGTGATTCGTCAACAATAGATTCTTGGTTTGGTGTGTCAGTAGCGTAGCCATTATCTGAGGAGGTGGGTAAGGTGAAGATTGTCCTGGTAGTGTCTGTGGGCCAATGAGGTCCAGAAGGAATGGAAAGTGTCGGAGCTGCCCATATCGAAGCTGTGTCCTGTGCATTGCCTGGTACTGAATTCCAAAGTGCCTCTAAGCTCTCGTTAAACTTTGCCTTTAATTGCGCTAATCTTAACTGATCAAGTTCCTTTTCTCTTTCCCGTTCCATTGATTTAGCAAATCCAAAGCTTTCTTTCTCTTCTGATGTTTGTGATTCGATGTTCTAGAAAGAAAAGAAAAAGAATATGACTTATCGTAACGGAAACTACTACGTCAATAAGATTTGAGAGAAAAAAAAAATATAAAAGTATTATACTCACGATAGACATTTTTGTCTTTTTATTGCAAGCGTTATTATTTTTATTGTGCAAATTAATTCCGTAGTTTTTATTGTTGTTGCTGTTGGCAAAATTTCTATCTTTCTGGGCAGGAGTCTTCTTAATGGATACAGATTGCAAGGCTGGAAATGCTGCGTAATATCTGAGAGCCTTGTCACGAGATGTGAGCGTTTCTAAATTTGTTTCGGGCTCATCGTGAGATTTCTTGGATTCTTCTTCTTCATCATACGAGCTTCCGCCTTCTAATTCTTTCAGTTTTACGCACAATTCATCAACTAGAGCATCTACCCCGTATTTCTATACAAAAAATATTCTTTTTATGTATAGTTACTATTTAACATAGGCAATTTGTAAAACGTAGGAATCTTATATATTCCTAGTAGAAAATATATTTCTATATCTATAAAACTTACGTCATCAGCAGCACTTGTCAGACATTGCACAACAGCTTGTCGTTGTTCCCCGTCACCATGCGTTGGCAGCTTTGCTTTAGGTCGGGAGGCACGTACGCGACGTCCTGTGCCTCTACCTAATTCGATTGCCTCTTCTGGAGGACTTAGGGCCGAGTCGGGGCGGCGCAATAGGCTGAGTACAACGCGCGAGTACGCAACTGGGTCAATCCCCAATGCGTCCAGGCGTGTCTCAAGCCACTGGCGCAACTCCTCCTCGGCCCTCGAGCCAAAGACTTCACCTCCTCCAGGGGACGTCACTATCCCGACCAAATGCAAGGCTGGGTTCCTCATTCCCTCTTAATAGATCTCCTCCTAGACCCAGGAACTCTGACCAACTTCACTATCTCCAGGGTGATCATCTCTCCTATAAAATTATAACACCACACTTTGATTTTAGATATCATGGCGTCTAAATAGGGAATCATTAAAACGGAGCTTAGATTATTTAAAATCTGAGCGCTCTCAAACTCACCTATGTACAGTACAGTATTTTATTATTGTCGTATAATGTTTCAATTTTATGGAATCCACCACTACGTCGTCCAAACTAATCAACAGACTTATCGAACGTTTTCTGTCTGTAGTTCTTATTTTGAATTTTTCGCATTAAGTTATTTAATCGTCCAGAAATATTGTTAATATTGTTTCTCTTAAAGTTTCAGTAATCTTGTTTAAAAATTCTTTAGTTTTTGGGTGGTGGATATATCATTGAAGTGAGGCTGGCAGGTCTTAGTGAAGGATAACGAGTATAGTCTCCTTCCCATTTTGACACTAAAAGTAACAAGTGAAAGCAGTATAAATACGTATTTCTCAGTGTAGAAAAGAAACACATTGCAAATAATATTCGTTCATTTACAAATAATATTTATTTTAATTTTACTAATATAATTATACTTTTCATAAAAATAATTTATTTTTCACAGCTCGATAACACATGTTACAGTTGTAATCTGTGCTAGAATATTCAATAACAACAAAAATAATTTACAAATATCTACCTTACTTGTATACTTTCACATTATCAGCATCACTTTAAAGTTTCGAGATGTTATAGGCAATATATAATATTTAGTTATACGTAACATTTTCTACTAACGTCTATTTGTATCTATTTAAAGAAATACAAGGGACGTCAAGGTGACCAGATATATATGTGCATACATATATAGATGATATGTGTACACATGCGTATACACATAGCCAACTTTTGTTGGGCTGTTGGGCACAGCAATGTTCAGAACGAAAAATTCTATCAACGCACGCGAGAGAGGCACAAGAAATAGAAAAACCAGGATCCAGAACTTCCAGAAGTGCAAGCGGAGTCGCACGTCATACGACGGACACACGCCCGAGACCATTTGTGGTCGTTATTGAAGGCATTAAAGGGACGTACGACGTACGCGTTATCTGTAGATACGTGCGTACGACAAAAGCATCGACGTATGTAGGTATACATACATCTTAGGTGTTATCGCGGAGGTGGAGAACGCGCGCCCGAGCCGAGTGGGGCGAAT